GGGGACAGTTGGGTTCCTGGCTATGGCTCCAGCACCCAGGGCCCGGATCCAGCACCCAACCCCAGCACCAAGCCCTGGTGGCCACCGCCACCACCCACCCCTGGCACCCAGCACCCAGCCCACGACCCAGCACCCACGCCAGCCCTACCTTGAGCTCGCCGACCTGGGAACCCACGTGCCACATGAGGTTGTCGCTCAGGAACTTCATGCCATAGGGTCCGATGAGCTCGGCCAGCGCCCGCATCTCTGCCCGATGGAGGTGTCACCGGGGGGAGGACACCGCAGGGCATCCCCGCTGTGTCCCCGCAGCCTCCGCGCGCCGTCCCTGCTGTGTCCCTGCTCCATCCCCACTGTGTGACATCCTCGTCACATCCCCATGACGTCCACACAGCATCTGCTGCATCCCCGCTGTGTCCCCGTGACACCTACGTGGCGTCCCCGTGACACCTACGTGGCATCCCCACTGCATCACCATGGCATCCCTGTGGCATCCTCACTGTGTCCCCATGGCACCCCCACTATGTCCTTGCTGTGTCCCCGTGACACCTAAGTGGCATCCCGGCTGCATCGCCATGGCATCCCTGTGACATCCTCACTGCGTCCCCATGGCACCCCCACTGGGTCCTTGCTCTGTCCCCATGACATCCCCACAGTGTCCCCGTTGTGTCCCCATGGCATCCCCACTGTGTCCCTGCTGTGTCCCCATGGCATCCCCGCTGCACCCACGCTGTGTCCCCGGGATGTCTCCATGGTATCCCCACCATGTCCCCATGGCATCCCCAGAGTGTCCCCATGGTGTCCCCAGGGTGTCCCCATGGCGTCCCCAGAGTGTCCCCAGGGTGTCCCCATGGTGTCCCCAGGGTCTCCCCATGGCGTCCCCAGAGTGTCCCCATGGCATCCCCATGGTGTCCCCAGAGTGTCCCCATGGCGTCCCCATGGCGTCCCCAGAGTGTCCCCATGGCATCCCCATGGTGTCCCCAGAGTGTCCCCATGGCGTCCCCATGGCGTCCCCAGAGTGTCCCCATGGCATCCCCATGGTGTCCCCAGAGTGTCCCCATGGCGTCCCCATGGCGTCCCCAGAGTGTCCCCATGGTGTCCCCAGAGTGTCCCCATGGTGTCCCCAAGGTGTCCCCAGGGTGTCCCCACGCCCTCACCGGAGATGTCGGAGAACTCGGCAGCGCTGAAGCCCGGCTCGCCCTCGCGTGGCACCGTGGCGAAGGCCTGCAGGGCCGGCGCCAGGACGATGGCACCGGTGCTGGCCTGACGCAGCAGGGCCTCCAGGTACCTGCGGGCACCCACGGGCTGCCACGCGCCCCCA